ACAACCTGCCCATCATTGCAATTTAAACAAGGAAGACTGAAAAGGGATACCAAATCATGTAGCACTAATGTAAAGCTGTGTGACTGTCACATCTAACAAATGCTACAGAGCTATAAATGATATTACACTGTATACTTCAAAATGGCTTTTAAAGAATTCATTGTGTTACTAGAAAGAGATGTAAACACTGTCTTGATGTACAAATGACATGCTTGGAAAGAAGTATTCTGACAAAGTAGTATTTAGGCTGATCATCAAACCACCAAAAAATGAATGAATGAATAAACCAACCAACCAACCAACCACAAGAATGTGCCTTTGTGTCTCTCAAAACAAAGTGCTCAACCAAATGACCTAAAGAGGGGGACTTTAAATGCAGATGTATGTCCAAAGAGACTTGGGAAACAGAGTAGGCAAGTGAAGATCAATCAGACCAATGAGGTTGCAGTGTCCTTGACTGAGTATGGACCGCAAGAATGGCATGACCTCATCTTCTATGTACGAATTCGAAACTGAAATAGGCACCAAAGTATGCCAGGCATAAAACCCAAGGCAGTCAGAGAAAGCACATTATCCACTTATTACACAGAGTTGTTCACTGAAACTTTATACTGCAAAATGCAAACAAGGAGCCTGGGTTTAAACAATAGGGTGACATAAAGCAAAGGCAGGCACGACATGCTCTTGTCATCAGATATCACGCTGCCCTACAACATCATACTTCAGTACTTCTGCACGTGTGGTGGGGGAGGGGGACTGAGCTACACACAGCCCGGCCTCACACCGAGATAGTTTTATATGATGTGGGGAAATGCTTCTGTGTTCTGTGGAACATCACCCACGCGCGCGCGCACACACACAGATACACAAACATCTCAATTGTGTTAAAAAGTAAGTGAGCAGGAGATACCCAAATTGTTAAAGGGGTTCTCTTGCCAGAGTAGAATTAAAGGTGCTCCCCCCTCTATTTTTTTTTAGTACTTAAACTTTAAACAGCACATTACCTTTATGATTAGGAACAACCCGTATTATGAAATTTACTTTATTAAATTAACTAACATAAACTAGATTGAAAAGGGGAAACACTTAGAAACTTAGCTGGGGATTTAAATTCTGCCTTTAAGCACTCTGAAAAGTGGGCCATGCAGGGACACTTGGGTAACTCAAGGCCAGCTCTGCCTGGGGACTTCTCTTGAGCAGCTCAGAGGCCGGGGCGGGGCCCCTTCCCAGTAGGGCCGGGTGCCATACAGGGTGCCTCAGCCCCTTTTTATTGCTATACATCCTGGGCTAATGGAAAACTTTTATTTGTTGTTTCTGGAGGACAGAGAGTTCATTTCTCTACTCGACACACAGGAAGAACATTCATTAGCCTCATTTTCCTGGGTTTCTCTCTTTTTTGTTTTTCATTTTGTGTCATTAGTATGAGATTCTCTTATCTAATCTGCTTGAATCTAATTATCTTTTCTTATCTAATTAAAAGCCCAATTCCAGGTTTCCCAAATGAGAAAGGGGCTTTCCTACCTTAGAGAGAGTAGACTGAGGAAACACTGGAACATCACACATCTTACTCCGGTAATTGTAACAATTCATATGCAAAACTCCTCAATCACAGATTAAATATAGTATGGCAGGTTTGGAAGGGTCACAGGAGACCCTACCAAATTCAGTGACTCATTCAGAGCCCTGTGAAATAACTGGAGTTATCACGGGAGGCCAGAAGAGTGGATTACCTGGCATACACAGAACACATTTTTTTGCTAAGTGAGAACAACTGTGACTCTTGTCTTTCAAAGTCTTCGTAGTAATGTTCCCCTTAACACTTTATGTGCTATTAAAGTACTGTAACTTTCAAAAAAGTTCCCTAATTTTTTCTATATAATTTGTTAGACTTGGTTTTTAAGGAACTCAGGGACTTTGTACCGAATTTAGTTTTAAAGCGATAACAGTCCTTTGAACACAAAGAAATCAAATGGACATTTGCAGATACTTTCAAAGAAATGCATTTAAAAATATATCTCAGTGTTATTCTTTCCTTAGCAATCTGTACTGTTGTAATGATAAATGCCGACTTCTAAGTAATTTTATTGTGAGTTATCAATTGTTATGTATTTTCTTCCCTTGAAAAAAGGCTATGCCAACTTGATTAACAAGGTATGGTTTTGATTTAATTATCTGAGTAATTCAGCTCTTCTTACATGAACTTCCTGGTTACAATGTCCCTTTCCTGGGAGACTTTATAATGGTCCTATGTCTATTAAGTCTTTAACCCATTTCTGCTGGTTTGACTCACCAGTGATACATGAATGACTGTTCCACTGGGCAGCCTGCACCACTGGATGGAACTGTCCCATGCCACTCAATGGGACAATCATGCACGGACCACCAGTGGTTCAGAGCTGCCCAGCAGCAAGACACATGAATTATGGCCCTGTCGTGAATGTTTTTGGTTTTTTTTTAGTACTGGGGATCAAACTCGTGTCCTTGCGCTTGCAAGGCAGGCGGAGGAACCACTGAACTAAATCCCCAGCCCTTGTGAATGTGTTAAAGTTCAAGATATGAACCGAGCATGGTGGTGTACACCTGGAATTCCAACATATGGGAGGCTGAAACAGGAGGATCACCACAGGTTCAAGGCCAGCCTGGGCTAAACAGTGAATTCCAGGGCAGCCTGGACTACACAGTGAGTTCAAGGCCAGGCTGAACCTGCCAAAAAAAAAAAAAAAAAATTAAAATTAAAATAAAGTTCAAGCCAGGTGTGGTGGCACAGGCCTGTAATCCCAGCAGTCTGGAGGCTGAGGCAGGAGGTCTGCCATGAGTTTGAGGTCAGCCTGGGCTACACAGTGAGTTCAAGGCCGGGCTGAACTACATAGTAAGATTGTCTTAAAAAAAAAAACCCGAATAAATAAATACATAAATAAATAAAGTCCAGGATATGACAACTAAGATTAAATTCAGACCTAAACTGAGAATCACAAAAGCTAGAACATATTCCTAAGTTTCTAAGACTCCTGGGCAAATAGTGCACAACAAGCTTGAGTGAAGGAGGGAGCTAGGAGGAGGGCCAAGGTGAGTATGTGCCTGAACTTCAGCTCTGTCATTCACTGCCTGTGACTGTGGGTAAATGACTTAGCAGGCCTCTCACTCTTCCCTCAGACATAACATGTGCCAAGTTATTATGAGCACACAGTAGGAGCTCAATCAGTGAAAGGAAGCCACTCGTACTTTACTTCCTCAATCTGTAAAAATGGACATAAGGTCAATTTTAGGTGTAATTAGCATAAAGCACTTTCTGTATCTGTGGGTTCCTACCAACATTATTTTCCTCTCTTCAATAATAGGTATATTCTTATTCTTTGCCGTGCTGGTTATGCTTAATATTAAAAAGCAGTCATTCTAATCCATGTAACTTTTTTTTTCCAATGTAGAATTCAACCCAATCCCCAACTTCGGAAATTACTACCATAACTACACACATAAAGAGTAATGATAGGCTTTGCTGGTTTTGTTAGAATAGGTACTCAACAATATTTGGTTTTCTTCCTTGATTGATCTATAAAATGACAGAGAAATCTACATGCAGTAGTCTGTGCTAGCGAAGAACAGCAGGAGGCTATGGATGGCAGTACCAGGTGTCTCTGTGGCCCATCCACACCAGGCTGGGAGCGCTGAGCTATTTGTGTGCAGTCCTGTCACACGGCCACATACATGCAGCTTATTCAACTTTCAGCAGAATCCTGCACGGAGCAGGATTCCCATTCTAAAAGTTCCGTCCACATTCTGTAAGGAAATCCACAAACTGATGTTTATAGCCATAGGAAATCATCTGAAAGATATTTAAAATGATTTTGCTATCCTTCTGTTCTTGACAAGCCAGACTTAAAAAGCTAATGAGGTGTTTTATTTTTGATTTTGCATATCTTAATCACCGGCAAAGCATGCGAACCAGACGCTGTGTTTGCCTTTGTATTCCCCACAGTCACCCCTGCACCCTAGGATTTGTAAATTACTGATACATGAATCATTGTTGACTACAGAGAGGCCAATGCACTTGCCCATGGGTGGCTGGACTACATGTGTCCATCTGTCCTGAACTCCCTGACCCAAGAAAACTCATAATGAAATGAAAGCATTTTACCCCAACAGCTCTGAAGCACAGTCAACGGAAATGATCCAATTTGCAAAGGCAGGTCTTAGTTAAACTTCAGAAAATATGCAGCTCCTATCTGCAAATCCTGTCCTCAGCCTGAGAATGCAATCGCATCCCGCCGGAGGCCCTGTGAAAACACGGTCCTCACGGGCAAAGTGCGGGGTACCAGTGCCCCTCCGCAGGAGAGCCTGTAGGGCTCCAACTGCAATGATGCTACACGGGGAAAACGTGAAAAGGAAACACCAAGCCCAACCGTGTGCCCCTTCTGTAGTGATCCAAGTGGAGGGGGGAGGAAAGAAAGAAAAAAGAAATCTCCATGTACAGATACACAGTAGTCAACTTAACCAGACACGTTTGGGATATCCCTAGTCCTTACCTAGACTACAAAACAAATATTCAAAAATTAGAAGTACCTGGGTCATCAACTCAGAATATTCTACGACCAAATCAACCCCCCCCCATCACCACCCAGCAGTGAAACCTCCCAGCACTTAGGCTACTAGAAACTACACGTTAGTTATGGACTGAGATTTACATAATCAGAAATTACATAATATTCCTCTTGTGCACTACAACCCTTCTGTAGGTGAAGTTCCACACCACCCAGTCTTTCATCATTTTCCAGAGAGAGCTGGAAAAGTCTCCTGAATAACTGGGAGACAGGAGGGAATGGGGTGTTAGAAAAGTCACCCTGACAAGCGGCAAACCCATCGACCGCTCCAGGATAGAAGGGGGTGGTGGCAGGTGACTCCCCGCTGCCCATCTCCTGGCTGGGGCTGAGGCCGAGGCAGGACGAGCGGGCGCCAGCTGCAAGGCGCAGGGTGCGGACGGGCAGGGGGCGCCCCGGGCTTACCTGCTCCCCGAAGTCGATGGCTATGTTGGTGATGCCCAGGGGCACCAGGAACCGGATCAGGGGCCAGTAGTGCGTGAGCGCCGGGAATTTCACCATAGTCCTCGCCGTGGGCTGACCCCACACTCATCTGCCGCCGCGAGGGGACTCGGCGAGGAGGCGAGGGCGAGCGGGGCGCGGGCGGCGCAGGCCGGGGCGGCGGCGGTGACAGCGACGGCGACGGCGGCGGCTCCTCCTCGCGGCTGCGGCGCCCTCGCCCAGCGGGGCGGCTCTAGCAGGAGATCCGCAAGCTCAAGTCCATCCCCGCTGCCCTCCCACACAACAAAGATCTGCCGGGAAAAAAAAGAGGAGGGACGGCGGCGGCGGCGGCGGCGGCGGCGGCGGGCGGCTCCGCGCACAGCGGCTCCATTATAAGCGGCCGGGCCCGGAAATAAATAAATAACCGCGCGCGCG